GTGCATGACAAAAATGGAGGGGTCATATACAGAGCTGATGGGAAACCTTGCACTATGATGGGTTGCATGGCAGATACAACTTGGAATGGTGAGACACAGTACCTCTACTACCCAGATAATCACCCAAAATATCCTGGGTATTTCAAAGGGATGGCTCAAATTTTGGAGGAGCAAGGCTATGATGTTTCTGGACTTCAGGCCCAATGTGATAAATTCAAATGCTGTACTGTGGCAGCACAATGTTGCTGCCACAATATTCTCTTCCATTCTGAAGACTTTCTCAATGTCAAATCACTCCTGCAAACTCACTGTGAGGCTGCTGCGTTTTGTCAGGTATGCAGTGAGGAGGGCAGTGTCCCTGGACCTTTCCCCAGAAGGAGGCTGGAGGTAGAGAACAGGTGGAAGGACTGCGGCCTCAGTGACTCAGAGAGGAGCGCTGTGCCTATGTTAAGTAACACTTAGGAGTCTGGTCCCTAACTTCAGAACAAGGGGGTGCAAACTCTGGGGGGTAGTCTAGTCATCGATTTTGCACTGAGGTGCCATCAATTACAGTCCAGGACTTATAGAAGACAAATGGGAACAAAGGGGAAAACCCAAGGGGGACTTACCCACTTGTCAGGTCAGCAAGCTCATGAGAGAATTGCCTTATCGAGCATTGTGGAGTAGGTAGGTGAAGGGTGGAATTAGCGACAGCTACTGGAGAGTGGGAAAACCTTTGCGGAGTGGGCAGAGGTCCTAGGAGGTCCATAGTAATATTGGGTAAGTAGAAATATTAATAAACGTATAGGGTGAGGATATGTGAGGTCTCTGGGTAGCTCAGTGCACAGGGCCGTAAGTGATACAAGTATGTGTATTTTACGGTGGTGTGTAAGCAGTTACCCAGAGGTTCCTGCTTACCCACGTGACTATATGTATCTAATTACATGTGGCTCGGGGTTCAGGGCTATTGCCCTGACAGGATAAGAGGTACCAGAGAAGGTACCAGAGATCGGAGGCAGAGGTGAACCAGAGGTGAACTGGAGGGTATGGCAGAGGTGTGGGGGAGGATGGACCGGAGGTGGACCAGAGGTGTGGCGGAGTTGAGCAGAGGTGAGGCAGAGTTGGTATGGATGTGACAGGTTTGACATCCTGTTCCTCCCAAAGTTCCATTGTGAACTGAATTTCAGTGAACCTGTTTGGGGTTATTCAAAGTGGGTTTACCATGAATGCCCACCCTCATTGAAGATGTCAAGGTCAATTCACACAATGCATTGGAATCAGTTCCAATTGTTACAATGTGCAGGTACGAATTCTCCTTAATTTCTGCTTCATTTGGGATCATGGGTATTTATAACTTTGCAAACAAATCACTACAGTATATGGATGGGTATCAGCTTGGCCTAGATGGATGTGAGGCTGCATGTGCAGTTAAAAAGTACAGAGGGCACCACCAGCTACCAGCTGAGGTAACATGGGAAGTTATTCAGGAAATTATGGCAAGCAAAAAACAAACTGTGTAATTTTTTTATTACATGATTTGAGCGGGTATCAATCCCAAAAAATATTCACTGCTTGTGACCTGCACTGCCACTACCAGAAATCTCCGGGATAGTGATTAAGTATGAAATTCGCCTACCTTACATGGAATGAAATGGAAAGCATGTGCAGCCTTCTCAGGCCTTACACTCTCCTCCCATGCGATACTCAATATCGCATCAAGATACAAAGACAAGGAAATCTGCTCACACATGTAACAAGAAATATAAATTATACATCCCTGGAGAGGGATGGAAATGTAAAATAAGTGTGAAGACAATAAAGTCTTCACAAAACCATCATAAGACAGCATGAATAATATGGACAGGCGGTTGGGCCTGCCTGCACCATCCTGGGATGGTGGATATTACAAGGGGCAAAGGTGGTTAGACCTTCACAGACCATCTCTAAGACAGCCAGAAGAAGTTGAATGAGTAAATGCAGTTAGGCCTTTACAGAACCAACACTACAGATGGCTCAAAGAATAGAAATTAGTGGAAGTGTTGGGCCTTCACAAAAACCAGTCATTAACTGGCAAGAACAAAGGAGGGAAAAGCCCCATGTTTCAGAGGCTGAAAGAACTATTAAAAATAGCTATTAAAGATGGCCATCACATGCAGCACAAGGAATGGTGAAAGTGGTTAGACCTTCACAGGCAAAAACAATAAAAGGAGTAAAAGCGGTTAAGCTTTTACAAAACCATTGTTGAATGGCTTAAAAAAATGATGAAGGTAAAGGCAATCAAGCCTTCACAAAACCATTGTATAACAGTCTAAAGTCACAAACATAAAGGCTGCTAGGTGTCATATCCATACAATCCCAACCTCCGCTCTGGGCTCCCGGAACTCCGAAACTGACTCCGGAGCCCTACTTCCCTTTCATCACCTTCTCCTTGCCGACTCCCAAGAGGTTATTCCACCTCCAGCTCCAACACCACCTTCGGTCCGACTCCGGACCATTCCGGGTCCCTCAACCTTGACACCTTCAAGATGAGTATGCAACACCTATGCTCCTGACTCCGGACCTCCGCTCCGGAATCCTGTTTGCATCTCTGTCTCCAGAACCTCCAGTCTTAGCTCCGACCTCGCACTTTGACCCCACCTCCGCTTATACCCATTGTATTGGTTAGCTCATTCCATTTAATTACCCTTGCCAATATTCTGGAGTTTAACTTCCGAGTCCGGACTTTCCGGACTTACTTTGGACCTTGCAACTATTGCATTGTCCTATTCATTTCCGCTATACTCCCTCATTCCTATTTGGGCTGCTGCTTCCTTTCTATTCAGTCAGCTAGCCATTGTTAGACACTGGTCCAGGGTCAGCACCGAGGATCACCGTTGCGGGCCTGCTATAGGCTGCGATGGCTGTGATGCTGCAAACAAGGCCCAAGGGTAGGGCATTTGGCCTCAGCAACTCTAAAGGAGTGCTGTGCCCCCTAGCTGTCTCTTGGCCCTCATTTCAGACTTACTGGGGTTGCCTTGCTGGGGTCAGGACTTGGGGGTCATGGTCAAATCGATATTAGAGCTAAGGTACAATAAAGTAACATACAGGATATATATAGGGAGGAAGAATGAATGGAAGCGGAACTGGGCCGAAGGCCGAAGGGTCCGGAAGCAAAAGGGAACAAAGAGCGGGGTTGGCCGCACAGTGGCCGGCAATGGCCGAGGGTCAAAACAAACAATAACAGATAAATAAAGGAAGGAGTGTAGGGCTGCAATAGCGGCGATGGTATTGTAGCGGTGCTAGACTCGGAGTTGGGCCAGAGTGGGGCGTGGGAATGGTAGCAGCCCTGTAGGGGCCAAGTGGGTGGGGTAGAGGAGTCGCGCTGGGCACAGTGCTGGAGGCGGACTCAGGGTGGGAAGGTTGGTGTGGTTGTGGGGAAGTCGGCCAGGTGCAGGGGAGCCTAGGGGCAAGCAGGGGAGTGAGCAGGGAGTCCTCATGGAGGATAGGGCTGAGGTCGGGGCTCACGCTCACACTTGCATAGCGGGAATGGGCTCGGTGGCGTCGGGACAGGTGGCTAATGGGCCAGAATGCATGGCTGTGACAGCCATTCCCCACTCCCATCCTCCTTCCTTCCTCCTTGGGCCTTGGCCCTTCACTCCTCCTTTGGGAAACACCATTGAGTCAAACCCTTGAGCCTTGGTGTTGGTCCTCATTCCAGCTCCCTTTGTCTCCTTTCAGAGTACCCTTGCTCCTTTTGATTCCAGACCCCTCCTTATATACAATGTACCTAGTAACTTGTAACCTCAGTCTGAAATCGACTTGATTCCCCCCTAAGAGACTTCCCCTCTGCTAGATCCGAAATTAGGGACCCCAGGACAACCAGCAATGGCACAGCGCTCTGCCTGAGTCACTGAGGCTGAGGTCCTTCCATGCTAAGTCTCCGATTCCATTCCGGAGCTGTCTGAATCCGCCGTGTCTAACACTAGGCCTTTCAATAATATGTATATCAGGTTAAAGAACCCTAGGCCTGTGAGGGCCACTCCTCCCTAGACAGTTGTCAGGGAGCAGATGGGGTCAATTAATAGACCTTAGGCCAGTTAAGGCCACTCCTCCCTAAATGATTGTTAGGGAGCGAATAGGTCCTTTACCCATAGGATGGGTAAAGGAAAAGTTGGGGCCTGATGCACGAAGCACTTCTATGGCCCAGTGCTCACCACTGGCTGGGAAGTGTGGCCTGGAATCGACATAGGACATGTTGTCTGCATCGATTATGGGTGTACAGGCAAAGTGGGTCACCTGGGAACAGTGGCAAGAACCACTGGGCAATTTGACCTGGAAAAGGTCAAGTTGCATGGGTACTCCAGGAGCTGTCACCCAGCCCAGGCTTGTATACACTTCTCCTCACTTGGAACAGGTGCGGAAGCGGTCGTAGGGACAGCCACTGGCCTCTCTGAATGAGAGGAAGAGATAGGGGCTGGTGATCTACAGCCCCAGGAAAAGTCAATGTACAGCATGCATTGGTGAGCTGGCACTCACAGATGCTGAGATGCCTTTATTGCCATGTGGAACGGGCGGGGATACGGTTGCTTGGACCGTTCTAGACCTCTCAGAATGAGGGGAATGGATGTAGGGGAAAAACCCTGGATGCGATGAAGCGCAGGGCGCTTCCTGAGCTCAAAGAGTTATAATACCGGTGCTCTCAGATCGAGAGAAAAGCAGATTGGCCTTCCATAGGGAAAAGCCAGAGAGAAGAAGGAAGAAAGAAGGAAGTGCGGGGCGCTTCCAGAAACAGCAGTGGCTCCTTGGCCTAAGGGGCCAATGACATTATAGATAGATGGTTGGGTGGACCATCAGAAACCTCTCAGCATGAGAGGAATGCTGCCAATGACTGGCAGCAAAGTTGCACAGACTTGCATCCAAGTCTGCCACCCCAGAGTTAGGATCACTACTTGATCCTATCTTTGGACTCACAGTTCTCCTTCAGATATGAAGAGATTTGATCGGCTTTCTCAGCTGATTGCAAGTGGTGAAGCCCAGTATTTCTACTGGGTAGGATAGGGACTGTGATTGCCAGATTGCAGCAAACACGAAAATCTCAACAAACTCATCCTCCTCCACTCTGAGAGCAGAAGTTCATGGGGTGGAGGAGGGTGTATGAGTGGGTCTGGGACAGTTCCAGACCCAGGAGTAGTGATGTGAGCCGGTGGCGGCTCAGAGATAGTAGAAGCGCTGTGCGCTTCTGTGAGCTGGCAGCCGGCAAGAGTCGGGCTGCTGGTAGTCTGCCTTTAAAACAGTGCAGAGGCAGTCGCACAGACCGTCTCTGACCTCTCGGAATGAGAGGACTTGGAAAGGACTGCTGGTTCAGCAGTCTCAGCGTAAGAAGATAAAGTGCAGTAAAGCGCTTTGATCTCAGATGAAATCAATTTGATGCATGGTAGTGCAAGGTAGTCATTGTACGCCTCCTTGAGCACAGAATTGGGGCCTTTCAGCAACCCAAGTGGATCAGGCACATCAAAAGGTTTATGAGGCCCCAGATGTGCATGCAGACCCATTGATGTGCACACAGGAGTGGCTGCACACAGACAAGGCCAGGCTGGGACTGGCCTGATAGAATTGGATGCACCAGGGTACTGGGAGAACCCGAGGCGTCCATGGATGCTGGATCAAGCAGATCGGCACTGGCATCATCGGTGCCAAGACCCATCATGGAAGCATGCATGTAAAAAACATGCAGATTTGGCCCCCTGCAAAGTGGAGGGCAGACCTGCCACCCCTCTGGATTCCATGTGACAGAAGGCAGGTAAAGAGGTGATCAGTGTGCATGGCAGCACCGATCAAATAAGTGCGGAGGGTTGAAATACAGCCCAATGAGTGCAAAAAAGTGTAAGTGTGTATTCACAGGTAGTATGTACCCGGAGCATGTAGCTCAATCGTGTGTAGGGCCTAGTTCCCAGTCCGTTGAGATATGTGCTGTATGAAGCTATATAATCAATGGGGGAGTAGTTAGGCTGTAGAGCCAGTCTACCCTCCATGCTACTTTATATACATATGTACAGTGTATGCCGGAGTCGGCAAATACATGCGGCTTGGTAAATAGTAAACAAGCATGTGTCATATCCATACAATCCCGACCTCCGCTCCAGGCTCCCGGAACTCTGAAACTGACTCCGGAGCCCTGCTTCCCTTCTGTCACCTTTCTCCTTGCCGATTCCCAAGAGGTTATCCCACCTCCGGCTCCGACACCACCTTCAGTCCGACTCCAGAACATTCTTTCTGGGTCAGACCTCAACCGCGACACCTTCCAGACAAGCATGCAACACCTATGCTCCTGACTCCGGACCTCTGCTCCGGAATCCTGTTTGTGTCTCTGTCTCCGGAACCTCCAGTCTTAGCTCCAACCTTGGACTTTGACCCCACCTCCGCTTATACCCATTGTATTGGTTAGCTCATTCCATTTATTTACCTTTGCCAATATTCCCGAGTTTAACCTCCGAGTTCAGACTTTCCGGACTTACTTCGGACCTTGCAACTATTGCATTGCTCCATTCAATTCCGCTATTCTCCCTCATTCCTATTTGGGCTGCTGCTTCCTTTCTATTCAGTCAGCTAGCCATTCCCCACTCCCATCCTCCTTCCTTCCTCCTTGGGCCTCGGCCCTTCACTCCTTTGGGAAACACCATTGAGTCAAACCCTTGACCCTCAGTGTTGTTCCTCCTTCCAGCTCCCTTTGTCTCCTTTTGGAGTAGGTCCTTCCTTGCTGTCATATCCATACATACCCGATCCTGATCCGACTCCTGGACCCTCATCTTCATCACCCCTGGAGTCCTACCCTATCTCCGTCCACTCCAACATCTACCTTCAGACCAAACATCGCTCCTTGCACCACACTCCTCCTCTCACTCCCTGTCTGCCCCTCTCCTACCCTACCTCCGTCTGCTCCGATATTCACCTTCGGACCTGACCTCATTCCTCCTCTTACCTCCCTTCTCGTTCCTCCCCTCACTCCTCTCCTTCCATCACTCTTTGGTCAAACCTCTGCCAAGTTACAACCTTCCGCTGCAGTCCTGTACCTCATACTTGGACACCACCCATACCTTCGCTCTGAGACTCTGTCATGGTCCCAACCTCGGACTTTGACTCCACCTCAGCTTAAGTCCATTGCATTGGTGACCTCATTCTATGTAAACACCATTGCCAATATTCCTTGGACTTTCAACCCCACCTCCATAACCTCTGTAAGCTCCGCAACCTCTGAGCTTCACGGACCAAACTCAGCACTTTCGCTGCTTGTAATGTATCTTTTGCAATTTCCCCTCATCCCTATTTGGACTACTGCTTCCTTCCAATTTAGCCAGTTAGTCACTTCCCCTCATCCTCCTGCCTCTCTGGGCTTTGCCCTCCCTATCTCCTTTTGGATGTACCACAGAGTCAACCCATGACCTTCGGTACCACTCCGCTTCTGTCATCCTTTTGTCTCCGTTCAGATGCCTTTGTTCCGATTTGGACCCTTCTGTGATTTCCTTGTGCCATCATCTCTCTACTATATACAGGCACTTGTACATACTTGTTTTGGACCTCCAGTCTAAAATCGACTGTCATATCCATCCCTGGCCATCGACTTCCAGTCCCTCCGATCCCTCCGGTCTACCTCCGCTCCTTCTTCACTAACCTCGGAGCTCCCGTATTCCACAATCCCCTCGGTACCCCTCGATGGTCACCACCCCCTCCTTTCAATTTATTACCTACACCTCCCTAAGTACAGAGCCCTGAAGACTTCCGGACAGCTCTGATGTCTGCTAGCGCACCCCTGCCTCTGTTGGGCAATACACTCGCTGTCATATCCATCCCTGGCCATCGACTTCCAGTCCCTCCGATCCCTCCAGTCTACCTCCGCTCCTTCCTCACTAACCTTGGAGCTCCCATATTCCGCAATCCTCTCGGTACCCCTTGATGGTCACCACCCCCTCCTTTCAATTTATTACCTACGCCTCCCTAAGTACAGAGCCCTGAAGACTTCCGGACAGCTCTGACGTCCGCTAGCGCACTCCCGCCTCCGCTGGGCAATACACTCGCCTGCCCTGCAGAGCCCACCTTCGGGCCTATCCCTCCTTTCCCTTTCTGGGTTATCACCTGCCTTTCCGTTAACCCTGTAACCCGACTCGTCAGTAATATTCAGTCAGCTAATGTTTAACCCCGTTAGCTCGGCTCTGCCATTTGCGGACCCGTCTTCGCTGTAACTATATATATACCCAACTTGTACATAGGTTACACTTCAGTAATAAAATCGACTAGAGTTTACCCCCCTTCAGTTCTGGTTGCCAGTTAGTAAGTTAGGGCACGGACGTGTTACTTGGCACAGCACTCCTGGCATAAGTCGCTGAGGCCGAAGCCCTCCGCCACGGAGACTTTCCCTCATCTCAACCTGGTCTCTGACATCGACCAGAAATGCCCCCTAGAGACTTCCGCTCACTGCTTCTGAATTAAGGACCAAATGGACAAACAGCAGTGGCACAGCACTCTGCATGAGTTGCTGAGGCCAAGGTCCCTCCTTGCTAAGTCTCCAATTCCCTTCTGGAATCGTCTGCCCTCACCCAGTTCTAACACTTGCTAAGTGTCAGGGCACGCCCTGACATGCCCTGCCCAACCCCCGCTCTGCTTCCCCACTCCACACCGCTTCTTCTTCCTTTCCCCTTTCTTTCTTCTTTCTTTCTTTCTCTGTCTTACATGGACCACCTTTCCCACTGTTCAATGTATCACCGGCACGCATGCCCATTCCCCCTCCTGTATCTTACCCTCCCTATATCGCCGTCACTGCCACCGCACTCACCTCATGCCTACAGCGGACCCTCTCAGGATCTCCGATGGAAACACCTGGAGAGCCATGGCTGCATGTGAGGGTGACATGGCGCTCCCCACATGATTGATCCTGCATGTATATAATAACAGCTGGAGTGGGAACCGAAGAAGTAGCCTTCTTCTCACATTCCCACTTCAGACTAAGTGGTTGGGGATGCTCACCCTGCAATGGGACCACCTGTTATAAAAATGGGGCCTAATTAGCCCATTTCTATAGCGTTCAGGTGCAGGGAGTGGCCGTGACATCGAGAAGATGTTACAGTTAATGTAACAGGTGTTGCAACAGTTGAGTTTACAGTAACATGAACATGGGGTTTTTGGGTAGTAATTGTCAGAGACCAGATTCGAGACGAAGGAATGTCTCCGTAGCAGAGGGCTTCGGCCTCAGCGACTTCTGCCAAGAGTGCTGTGCCTAGTGACATGTCTGTGCCCTAACTTACTGACTGGCAATTAGAACCTAGGGGGGTAACTCTAGTTGATTTTACTACTGGGGTGTAACCTATGTACAAATGGGATATATATATATGGTTACAGCGAAGGCGGGTCCGCAATTGGCGGAGCCGGACGGAGCGGAGCTAACGGGTTGTGAGGTCTTTGGGGTTGCTCAGCACACAAAGCCGTAAGTGATACAAGATGATGTATTTTACGGTGGTGTGTAAGCGGTTACCCGGAGGTTCCCGCTTGTCCACGTGACTATATCTATCTAGTTTACATGTGACTCGGGGTTCGGGGCTATTGCCCTGACAGTCTCTCCATGAACAACCCCGAGTTCGAAATACTCAGGGAGTGGTGGAGAGAAAAATTTGAAACCGTAATGGCGCCAGCGCCATTAGAAATGCCTCCCCTGAGGGAAGTGAACCATTGAATCCCATTGAAGGATCCGAACAAGAAATTTCGGGAAAACACCCCGAGATGTCCCGCAGCACTGCAGGAAGCACTAGCGACCAAAATAGATCGCTATGTAAAAGCAGGATGGTGGTATCCCGCGAACAGCGAGCGAGCATGCCCGCTACTGTGCATCCGCAAAGCAGATGGATCTTTGCGCACGGTAATAGACGCGAGGAACCGTAACTCAAACACGATCCTCAACGTCACACCAATGCCAGACATGCGACTGATCCAGGAATCAGTTGCCAGAGCAACATACCGATCAAAGATCGATATGTCGGACGCGTACGAACAAATACGCGTGGATCCAGATGACGTCCATAGGACGACATTCTCCACGCCCCACGGGACGTACAACTCGAACACGATGCAGCAAGGAGACTGCAACGCTCCCTGCACCTTCCAGCGCGCACTGACCTGGGAACTACGAGGAGAAGTAGGCAGACGCCTACACGTCTGGTTCGACGATATATTCACCAGCACAAGCTCGGTGGAAAACCACAATAAAGCACTATTGTGGTTATTCACTCGCCTAAAAGGGGCGAAATTCTACATAAGCCGGAAAAAATTCCAGCCATTTGCCCCAATCCTAGACGTTCTAGGAAGCCGAGTGGACAAACAGGGCATCCATGCTCAAGCGGATAAAATGGAAAAAATCCGCAACTGGCGAGAGCCAGCAGACCACACAGGAGTCCTAAGATTCCTGGGAATGGTAGAATATCTATCGATATTCATGCCAAACGTCAGCGGTTACACAGGACCACTGCAAACAATCTGCTCAAACAAGCAGACATTCAGGTGGACACCACTCCACCAGAAATGCTTCGACGAAATCAAACGTCTAGCATGTAGGGCTCCGATCCTGAAGCCCGTCCAGTGGAACCCACCGGAAAGCCTCTCAGAAGAAGAGAGGACCAAACTCCACGTCTGGGTCATAACAGACGCATGCCCAGCGGGCAT